GATCCAATCCGTGGGGTCAGGATCCAATCCATGGGGTCAGGATCCAATCCATGGGGTCAGGATCCAATCCATGGGGTCAGGATCCAACCCAAAGATGGGATCCACCCCATGGATCTGGATCAGTCCTGTGGGATCAGGATCCAATCCATGGGGTCAGAATCCATCCCATAGGAATGGGATCCAATCCATGGGATCAGGATCCAGCCCATGGGGTCAGGATCCACCCCATGGATCTGGATCAATCCTGTGGGATCAGGATCCAATCCATGGAATCAGAATCCAATCCATGGGGACAGGATCCAGCCAATGGGAACAGGACCCAACCCATGGATCTGGATCAGTCCTGTGGGATCAAGATCCAATCCACGGGGTCAGGATCCATCCCATAGGAACGGGATCCAATCCATGGGATCAGGATCCAATCCATGGAATCAGAATCCAATCCAGGGGGACAGGATCCAGCCAATGGGAACAGGACCCAATCCATGGATCTGGATCAATCCTGTGGGATCAGGATCCATCCCATGGATCTGGATCAATCCTGTGGGATCAGGATCCATCCCATGGATCTGGATCAATCCTGTGGGATCAGGATCCATCCCATGGATCTGGATCAATCCTGTGGGATCAGGATCCATCCCATGGATCTGGATCAATCCTGTGGGATCAGGATCCATCCCATGGATCTGGATCAATCCTGTGGGATCAGGATCCATCCCATGGATCTGGATCAATCCTGTGGGATCAGGATCCATCCCATGGATCTGGATCAATCCTGTGGGATCAGGATCCATCCCATGGATCTGGATCAATCCTGTGGGATCAGGATCCATCCCATGGATCTGGATCAATCCTGTGGGATCAGGATCCATCCCATGGATCTGGATCAATCCTGTGGGATCAGGATCCATCCCATGGATCTGGATCAATCCTGTGGGATCAGGATCCATCCCATGGATCTGGATCAATCCTGTGGGATCAGGATCCATCCCATGGATCTGGATCAATCCTGTGGGATCAGGATCCATCCCATGGATCTGGATCAATCCTGTGGGATCAGGATCCATCCCATGGATCTGGATCAATCCTGTGGGATCAGGATCCATCCCATGGATCTGGATCAATCCTGTGGGATCAGGATCCATCCCATGGATCTGGATCAATCCTGTGGGATCAGGATCCATCCCATGGATCTGGATCAATCCTGTGGGATCAGGATCCATCCCATGGATCTGGATCAATCCTGTGGGATCAGGATCCATCCCATGGATCTGGATCAATCCTGTGGGATCAGGATCCATCCCATGGATCTGGATCAATCCTGTGGGATCAGGATCCATCCCATGGATCTGGATCAATCCTGTGGGATCAGGATCCATCCCATGGATCTGGATCAATCCTGTGGGATCAGGATCCATCCCATGGATCTGGATCAATCCTGTGGGATCAGGATCCATCCCATGGATCTGGATCAATCCTGTGGGATCAGGATCCATCCCATGGATCTGGATCAATCCTGTGGGATCAGGATCCATCCCATGGATCTGGATCAATCCTGTGGAATCAGGATCCAATCCATGGGATCAGAATCCAATCCATGGGGACAGGATCCAATCCATGGGGTCAGGATCCAATCCATGGGATCAGGATCCAATCCATGGGGTCAGGATCCAATCCATGGGGACAGGATCCAGCCCGTGGGGTCAGGATCCAATCCATGGGATCAGGATCCAATCCATGGGATCAGGATCCAATCCGTGGGATCAGGGTCCAATCCATGGGGTCAGGATCCATCCCATGGATCTGGATCAATCCATGGGATCAGAATCCAATCCATGGGGACAGGATCCAACCCAAAGATGGGATCCACCCCATGGATCTGGATCAATCCTGTGGGATCAGGATCCAATCCATGGGGTCAGGATCCAATCCCATGGGATCCGGATCCAGTCCAAGATGGGACCCACCCCATGGACCTGGACCAATCCCGTGGGATCCCCCAGGATCCACCCCCTGCTCTGGATGTTCCCAGTGGGACACATCGGGATCGCTCCCAAATTTTTGGCTGTTCCCGGGAATGCGGATTCGGAGCCCGGCCGTGTTTTTCCGGAACTTTCTCGCTCCGAGGGCTGCAATTCCCAGGGAGCGGCGCCACGTGATCCGCTCGGAGCCGCTGCCTTCCCCCGGGATCCCCTGGGATCCCCCGGGATCCCGGCCCAGCTGCCGCCTTTTTCCAAAACATCTCCGGGATTTCGAACCCCGGGAATCCCCCGGGATGCTCCCGGAGCCGCTTTCCCCCCAAATTCCTGATGTTTATCCCAAAGCGGGATCTGAGGTTTTTTGTCAGGGTTGGAATGAAGATTGGGATCTGCTCATCCTGGAATTCCTCCTCGTTCAGCCCGGATATCCCATGATCCCAAATTCCCACGAGTTATTCCCAAAGGTCCAGGGATCCCAAATTCCCATGGGTTATTCCCAAAGATCCTGTGATCCCAAATTCCCGCTGGTTCTTCCCAAAGATCCTGTGATCCCAAATTCCCGCTGGTTCTTCCCGAAGATCCTGTGATCCCAAATTCCCTCTGGTTCTTCCCGAAGATCCTGTGATCCCAAATTCCCGCTGTTTGTTCCCAAATACCCTGTGATCCCAAATGCCAGCTCTTTCATCCCAATGATCCCGTGATCCCAAATTCCCATGGGTTCTTCCCAAAGATCCAGGGATCCCAAATTCCCGCTGGTTCTTCCCGAAGATCCTGTGATCCCAAATTCCCGCTGTTTGTTCCCAAATACCCTGTGATCCCAAATGCCAGCTCTTTCATCCCAATGATCCCGTGATCCCAAATTTCTCCTCTTTCATTCCAAATATCCCACAATTTCAAATTCCAGCTCTTTCTTCCAAAGCATTCCATGATCCCAAATTCCCACTTTTTCTTCCCAAAGATCCTCTGACCCCAAATTCCCACTCTTTCATTCTGAATATCCTGTGATCCCAAATTCCCGCTCTTTTATCCTGAATGATGCTGTGATCCCAAAATCCCTCTCTTTCATCCTGAATATCCCGTGATCCCAAATTCCCCTCGGTTCTTCCCAAAGATCCTGTGGTCCTAAATTCCTACTGTTTGTTCCCAAATACCCTGTGATCCCAAATTTCTGCTGTTGCATTCTGAATATCCCACAATTCCAAATTCCTGCTGTTTCCTCCTGGAGACCCCACGATCCCAAATTCCCGCTCTTTCATCCCAATCATCCTGTGATCCCAAATTTCTGGTCTTTCATTTTGAATATCCCACAATCCCAAATTCCCTCTCTTTCATCCTGAATATCCCACGATCCCAAATTCCCCTCGGTTCTTCCCAAAGATCCCGTGGTCCTAAATTCCCACTGTTTGTTCCCAAATACCCTGTGATCCCAAATTTCTGCTGTTGCATTCTGAATATCCCACAATTCCAAATTCCTGCTGTTTCCTCCTGAAGATCCCACAATCCCAAATTCCCAGTCTTTCTTCCCAAAGGTCCTGTGATCCAAAATCATATCCCACGATCCCAAATTCCCCTCGGTTCTTCCCAAAGATCCTGTGATCCTAAATTCCTGTTGTTTGTTCCCAAATATCCCGTGATCCCAAATGCCAGCTCTTTTATCCCAATGATCCCATTATCCCAAATTCCTCCTGTTCCTTCCCAAAGATCCGGTGATCCCAAATTCCCAATTTCATCCTTAAGATCCTATTATCCCAAATTCCCACTGGTTCATCCCAAATATCCCATGATCCCAAATTCCTGCTCTTTCATCCAGAATATTCCATGATCCCAAATTCCTCCGCTTTGATCCCGAATATTCTGTGATCCCAAATTCTCACCGTTCCATCCCGAAGATCCCTGATCCCAAACCCCCGCCGTTCCATCCTGGATATCCCGTGATCTCAAATTCCCGAGTATCCCGTGACCCCGAATTCCCGAATATCCTGTGATCCAAAATTCCCGCCATTTCTCCCCAAAGCTGCTGTGATAACAAATTCCCGTTGATTCTTCCCAAAGATCCCACGATCCCAAATCCATGCTGTTTCTTCCCGGATGTCCCATGATCCCAAATTCCTCTTCTTTCATCCCAAAGATCCCATCATCCCAAATTTCTGCTGTTTCATCCCGAAGCACCTGCGGTCCCAAATTCCCACCATTCCATCCCAAAGACCCTGCGATCCCAAATCCCTGCCGTTCCACCCCAAAAATCCCTGATCCCAAATCCCCGATGTTCCACCCCGAAAATCCCTGATCCCAAATCCCTGATGTTCCACCCCAAAAATCCCTGATCCCAAATCCCCGATATTCCATCCCAAAAATCCCTGATCCCAAATCCCTGCCGTTCCACCCCAAAAATCCCTGATCCCAAATCCCTGATGTTCCACCCCAAAAATCCCTGATCCCAAACCCCCGATGTTCCATCCTGAGTATCCTGTGATCCCAAATTCCCGAGTATCCCGTGATTTATCCCAAATCCCGGCGGGTGTCCAACGTGGCGCGGTGGCGGTGGACGGCCATGTTGTGATGGCTGACCGGAAGCACCGGAAGGCGTTCCTCCCAAATTCCCGCCATTCCATCCAGAGTATCCCAAATTCCCGAATCCTCGAGTATCCCGTGATTTATCCCAAATCCCGGTAGGTTCCCGCCCCCAGCTGCTGTCCAACGTGGCGCTGTACGCCTGCGCGGTGGCGGTGGGCGCCATGTCGTACGTGATGGCCGACCGGAAGCACCGGAAGGCATTCCTCCCAAATTCCCAAGTATCCCAAATTCCCGAGTATCCCGAATTCCTGAGTATCCCGTGATTTATCCCAATCCCAGCTGCTGTCCAACGTGGCGCTGTACGCCTGCGCGGTGGCGGTGGGCGGCCATGTTGTGATGGCCGACCGGAAGCACCGGAAGGCGTTCCCCCCAAATTCCCGCCGTTCCATCCCGAGTATCCCAAATTCCCGAATCCTCGAGTATCCCGTGATTTATCCCAAATCCCAGCTGCTGTCCAACGTGGCGCTGTACGCCTGCGCGGTGGCGGTGGGCGCCATGTCGTACGTGATGGCCGACCGGAAGCACCGGAAGGCGTTCCTGGAGGCGCGGCAATCCCTGGAGGTCAAACTCAACCTGGAGGAGCAGAGCCAGCAGCAGGTGGGGACACCGGGAATGCCGGAATGCCGCCGGGAGCGGGGAACGGGGGCGGGATCGGGAACGGGATCGGGAATGGGAATGGGAATGGGATCGGGATCGGGATCGGGATCGGGATCAAGGTCAGGAATGGGAATGGGACTGGGAATGGGAATGGGATCGGGAATGGGATTGGGATCGGGATGGGGATCAAGGTCAGGAATGGGAATGGGAACGGGATTGAGAATGGGAACGGGATTGGGATTGGGAATGATATTGTGAATGGGAATGGGCATGGAGTTGGGAATGGGAATTGGAATAGGAATGCGATTGGGATTGGAATAGGGATTGGGAATGGGATTGGGATTGGGAACGTGATCAGGAATGGGATTGGGAATGGGAATGGAATGGAATGGGAATGGGCATGGAATTGGGAATGGGAATTGGAATGGGAATGGTTATGAGATTGAAATTGGACTCCTGGGAATGGGGGCAGGGACACGGAGCCGTTCCTTTGGAATCTCATCCTGGGAATGGGGGCAGGGACACGGAGCCGTTCCTTTGGAATCTCATCCTGGGAATGGCGGCAGGGACGCGGAGCCGTCGCTCCGGTAACGGATCTGCCGCACGCTGGTGTTCCCAGCGGAATTCCCGGGTTCCCGGGGGAAAATCCACCCCGTTAGCAGAGTTCCGTGTGTCCCACGGGAATTCCCACACGGAGCTGGGCGGATCCGTCCCTGCTCCAGCTGCAGACACTGCCCTGATCCGGGGATATTGATCCCTGATCCGGGGATATTGATCCGTGATCCAGGGATATTGATCCCTGATCCATCCCTGATCCAGGGATATTGATCCCTGATCCATCCCTGATCCAGGGATATCGATCCCTGATCCATCCCTGATCCAGGGATATCGATCCCTGATCCATCCCTGATCCAGGGATATCGATCCCTGATCCTGCCCTGATCCAGGGATATCGATCCCTGATCCATTCCTGATCCAGGGACATCGATCCCTGATCCATCCCTGATCCAGGGATATCGATCCCTGATCCTGCCCTGATCCTGCCCTGATCCATCCCTGATCCAGGGATATCGATCCCTGATCCAGGGATATCGATCCCTGATCCTGCCCTGATCCAGGGATATCCTGCCCTGATCCAGGATTATCGATCCCTGATCCAGGGATATCGATCCCTGATCCATCCCTGATCAATTCCTGATCCAGGGATATTGATCCCTGATCCAGGGATATCGATCCCTGATCCATCCCTGATCCAGGGATATCGATCCCTGATCCTGCCCTGATCCAGGGATATCGATCCCTGATCCATTCCTGATCCAGGGACATCGATCCCTGATCCAGCCCTGATCCAGGGATATCGATCCCTGATCCTGCCCTGATCCAGGGATATCGATCCCTGATCCATTCCTGATCCATCCCTGATCCAGGGATATCGATCCCTGATCCAGTCCTGATCCAGGGATATCGATCCCTGATCCATCCCTGATCCAGTCCTGATCCAGGGATATCGATCCCTGATCCATCCCTGATCCAGGGATATTGATCCCTGATCCATCCCTGATCCACCCTGGATCCATCCAGTGTCCATTCCTGGATTTAGGATTTGAGATGTGGGGTGCGGGATGTGGGATGTGGGATTTGGGATCTGGGATTTGGGATGTGGGGTGTTGGATGTTGGATTTGGGATTTGGGATGTGGGATGATTGGATTTGAGACTTGGGATGTGGGATGTGGGATGTTTGATTCGGGATTGGATTTGGGATTTGGGATTGGATTTGGGGTTTGGGATGTGGGATTCAGCGTTTTTCCATGGGTGGCTCCCGCCAGGAATGGTTTGATCCCATTTTTTTCCTTGTGGAAGCTCTCGGGGATCTTTGGGGACCTCGGTGCAGATCCCTTCCCTTTCTTGGTCCAGCCTTTCCTTGGACACTCCCAGGGATCCAGGGAATCTCTGGGAATTCCAGCCCAGCCGGGAATTCCTTCCCAAGTCCCACCCCAAA